CCCCAAAACCCCAAAACCCCAAAACCCCAAAACCCCTTTTCCGAATTTTATAGTTGAAGTTAAAACCTATTATTTGGAAGCAAATTGTTCACTGAATTCAAGAAAGATTCGAGCTCAGGGACCATCTCCTTCGCCTTGTTATGATGGTTAATCTCATCTTCAGCCTTTTTTCTAATCATGCTCACATTCTTATCAAGATTATCGATCTTGCGACTCTTCTCACTCTGGTTTTGATCACATATTTCAAGTCAATTGGTTACACCTCCTATTTTTCCTTTGACCATAATTATCAAGTTTATGGCAACAGCGGTAAGAGTGACATTTTCAGCACAACTACCTAAGAAATGTCTCATTGCTTTAAACCTCTGAATATCATAGTTCTTGACATCTTCACCTCCAATTTTATTTATAAATTGGAGAATTCCTGCTTTCTTATCCTCATCTCCAAGAATTGCTCCGATCATGAAGTTTTTAACCTCGGCTTGGTTGCTAATGTTGTCAACAACAGGATTCAGGTTATGATCATTCCTGGAAATAATACCTAAAGATTATACAAAAAGTCTCCTACTTGAGTTATTTGAATGCTAGCCCAGTCACTCCAATCGTGTTTGGGAATCTTATTACAGTCTCTGAGTCTAAGCCAACCATCTTCTTTGCAAATTCGGAGGTGACATCTCCTGCTGTGCAAAGGTCATCCTTGATAGAGTCATAGAATAAGATTCCAACGTCCTTGAATCCAAAAAATTCAGGCAAGACTTCCTTCCAGTGTCCTATCAGCCTAAATTATGTAAACCTAGGACTTACATTGTGAGGGTAGATATTTTCATTATCCCTCCAAGTAGGTTGATCAGATTCTTCCCTGTTTTCTTCCTTGAAATCGCATCTTTCTTGGAGGTTATTATCTCAATTCTTTTCTTCACAAATTCAAGCAAGATTTTAAAAGTGAATTCATCGAGAATGTTAAATCCTCCTTTTATAATGCTAATGCTCTTCATAGTCATACCCAATTGGTTGTGGCTATCATTATTACTGAACTCGTCTATTTCTGAGGTAGCCGAAGAGTTCTCCATTTTAGATTCGATTATCTTGTTTGAAGGTTTTTCAGCTTCTATTGAAAGCTTACATTCAACTATCATCATGATGTCAGAGTAAGAACTCCCAATGGGGATGACCATAACATCGTTACTACGAGAACCATACTTGATGCTTTCTATGTCCTCAAATGTAGGTTTGATCCTCGCAGAACTATTATTAGTGAACACATGATAGTTCATTGCATCTATTGCGCCTCTTGAGAGAAATCTCATTTTAGAGATTTCAATATTTTCAACAATTTTATGATATAGTGACTCATCTAGAAGATAAATATTGCTATTTATAAGACAATGTAATTCTTACATCTGCAATTCCCTGTTCATAATACGTTTCATTTCATCAACTCAATGTATAAAAGTATCCATTAAATTATCAACCTTGGACATTGAACTAAGAGCTGTTGAGAGTTTTTCTACCCGAACCAGCTCTTGACTTCCTATGAACCCAATGGAGCTTGATTCGATCTTCCCTCCGCTTGAGAAGGTGACTCCAACAGTGTTGTTCCTAAAGCTTGTTAAAACGGCTTACTTTCTAGAAGTGAATTCATTACTTGCTGCATTCTTTTCTCGATTATTGCTATAGTTGACTTTGGTGTCAAGCATTGCCTTATATTTCTTAACTTCCTCGATAGTCCTCTTGATTGCCTTGTTATCCTTCTTAATCACATCAATGTCAGACTGTGTATACTTATTCTTTCCGTTATGCTCATCTATCTGACCTTGAATTCTTCCTAGGTCACATTTCAGGTCCTTAATCATAAAGTTTTCATAGATGTTCCCTGCAACACTAGCGTTAATCGTGAAGGAGGAGGAAGTAGTGGATAACTCCTTCTTTGTTAGGACATTGTTTGTCTTCGAAAGATTCTTATTCTCTTCCTTAAGCATTGAATTCATTTGTCGTTCTTTCAATACAGCACGCTTTTTCCTCTTTACTTCTTCCTCTAAAGACTTGAGTTTCTGAGAGAGTTCAATTTGTGGAATGCTATTATCGTAACTAGGGTCAGTCCTGAGTCCATGTGATCTATTACTCATAATCTTTTTCTTCTTATGAATAGGAGTAATGGGTTCTAAAGTTGAAAAATTTCCTTACTGCTATGGCTGTGCAAATGATGTTTTCTGGTACTTCTGGCCAAACTTATTTTAAACTTCTGATATTGTTGGGACAAATTATCTCTGGTCCTATTCTTCAAGTCGAATGCTAAAATTTGAGGTAAAATATACATGTATGCTCATCCTCTGTATAACTGCGATAATTTTTCCTGATAGTTGATCGATATCTCGCTGTGAGCTTTGAACCAAGCTTCTTATTTATCTTTCTTGTCTATAAAGAATTAATACAGTAGCTGAGAATAGCCAATACAAGGAAGGACACTTACTAAGGATGCCTTGGGAATTTATAAAACCACCTTGCAAATCATGGTGAGTTATACTCCCTGCTCTCCTCCATGTTGGGGTTGTTATATTAGAAACAAACGAAGACTGCTTTATTTTCTGGGACTTCTCTAGTTGAAGTTTCCTCTTATTAAAGTTAATCTTATGCTTCTCGAGGTATTTCTCCAAGAAGGTTGTGTCATACTTGCTCCTATTTGTATCAATAGGTTTTATAGTAATATTTTCTACAGTAGGCTTCATCACTAGAATAAAATATTTCAATTATAGTGATATAAGATGGGGTTTTGGGGTTTTGGGGTTTTGGGG